AAATTTACATGTATTAATTATTCACACATCTATGATATATACTAAGATTTTATTGAATGAATGATATAACAATATTATGATATGTTTATCTTAGTATATAAATTAATGTGGGTTTGACTTTTATTTTGACTCCCTTAAAAGGGGTTAAATAGTATTTTAATAGTTTGAATTACTTTGTGCGGTTTTGGGTTTTGGACCAAACTTTTTTATTGTTAAAAATTAATTGTCACCCAGTTTGAAAAGAAATTATTATAGGAAAAAAAGGAGATATCGATATTGATTTCATTTAAACAAAGAGTGATTATCGGGATTCTCATTAATTATATGAATAATAATATTTCAGGTACAATTTTAATATAGTTATTTTAAAAATAAATTAAAAGAAATTACATAACAAGTATTCAAAATTGTTACATCAATTTATATATTTATTACTAATACAGTAAAACCTCTCTGTAGTCATAATGGTGAGATTAATTAATTTTATCTTTATAGGAAAGTTATAACTTAATAGAGGTGTAGTTAAAAAAATTATTGTTTTGATTTATTATTTTATAAGTCATGTTTTAGTAATACAGTATTAGGATTTCAATTCATATTTTAGTAGTATTAGGATTTCAATTCAGCGCTTCAATTGCCTACTTTGAAATGGATAGAAGATCATGTGTTGGAACCAGCAAAGATAAGTGTCATTGATGGAACTGTAAATACAGTTGATGCATGATCAATTGATGTGAAATCATAAACAATTACCAATAGTTTTAAGCACTGCAAAATTAAGACCCCCGAACCTGATGTCGATGAATTGTAAGTTACAAATGAAGTGGATGAGGAGAATAAAAGAGTCATTGCAAAATTGAGTGATCAGATTCGACAACTTCTCTATACTAATCGAATGGATATTAATTTCTTCCTCGATCATCCAAATGAGCAACAAATTGTATATGTTTTAGCTAAAGAAGAAAATATTGCTGTAATTAGACAAGAAAAGAAAGAAAATAATCCTGAGGATAATGGTACAGAAATACAACAAGTTTCGCGCCTTGAGACTCTAAACATGTTTGAGAAGCTAAAAATATTTTGGCTTCAACAAGAAGGTGTCAATGCTAGCGAATTATTACGTATTCGCAAATTAAAATATGTGATAACAACTCTAAAGCATAAATTATTGTCCCAACAATTTTAGAAAAATATTTTATTTCATCTTAAACCTTTAATGTAACATAAAATATTTTTTTTGTAATATACATATAATTATTACTATGTTGAGATAATTTTCCTCAAGGCGAGAATTAAAAAAATTATGACTTATTACAATGTGGAGTTTATTCTTATTTATAACTATCCCAAATTTGGATTATAATTTTTATTACTATGCAGAGCTTATTCTTATATAGATATAAAATATTACTATAAAACCCCTGTATATATCACCATATATTTTATAAAAGAAAAATAAAAGAAGTATTTCTTATAGTAATAATAAAAATCATTATAGGGTGAACAACATCATCCATTAAAGACAATCAACAGTTAATAGTTAATTAAAATCCTTATAATTGTAAACATAACTACAAGAATTAATCAAACCTTAATTTATTACTTCAATAGTTCATCGAACCTGGATCTTTCAATATCTACAGCCTTCTTCTGTTGCTATTGGCATCAAACTGATTCATGTCAAAATGGAACTCAGGATTAAACTGAGAGGTATGTTGATGCTGCATTTGAGATGAGTTATTTTGTAGAACAGGAAACCGCTCAAAAGGCGGCAATGGCTGCAAACTTGAACCAAAGAAATTCACAGGCCTTGGATTTTCTAGCAATGCAGCCATTGGGTCATAGTAAATTGGTTTCACTGATTGAGTGTAAGTATTATATTGAGGTAGAGATAAGTCACCGCCGTTCATCATCATTAAATTCATCGAATTATCGAGAGGATGAAGATCGAACGGTCGCATTTGGAGAGCCTGATTGGTAGGATAATATGGAAGATTAATTTGCCTGTTATTAATTACTTCTACTCCTTCCATTTTATTGTTCTGAAACAAAACCTGAGCATTGTTGCAGCCGTCCATCAAAGCTTTTTCTTCCTTTAAAATTGCAATCTTTCTTCTAGCAACTTCAAGAATGGTGTCGAATTTGGCAAGAAGATGATTAAGTTGATCGTCGGAACAATTTTCTAAACGATCACTCCAGCCACAAGGGAACTTTGCTTCCAAATTATCCTTCCGAATTTTCTCAATTTTTTGTTCAAGTTTTATTCTCCGATTAGCGAAGAAATCAAACAAGTTTAGAGTTTTCATCTCGCGATCAGATAAAGTTGTTTTCTTTCTAAACAAATCGAGAACTTTCAGAAATTCCTCTCTTTTCTTCGGAAAAGTTTCCATCTCTGCCGGGCGATTGTTGAGCTTTGGCATATAGATTATCATGCACGTAGGAACTCCGCAAAGAGTTGCAAACTCCTGAATTTTCTTCTCCAATCCCTTCTTCCTTTTTTGATAAGTTATCATTCGAGACTTTTCTTTTTTAATCAGTTCCATTGTTAACTTTCCGCGGCCCATCGTTTGATCTACAGTGGTAAAATTTAGCCTAACCCAATTTAGAGAAATTATGGAGACAAACAGCTTGAAATCCTGAGAAATTGTCTCGAAGCATTTTTTTTGGTACAAAAAATATTGGTTAAAATAAAAACCCTATTCAACATAGGTTTGTCATTGATATGCATGAAAACAAATTAAAATTAGAGACTAAGAAGAACAATAATAAAGGAAAATTTACAGGAAAAATAAAGGCAAAAGCATTAAACAAACAAGTTTTTACTATAAATTAAGAGGATAATTAAGACTGAGGAAGTACCTTAAAGGTAATGGCTTCTCACAAGGCGACTTTGATCTGGAGCAAGAACGGTAATAATAATAATAATGGAGTTATTTGATTGACCTTTATAGAAGTATGGGATTGAGTTGCCATGAATTAATTCAAAGTTCTTCTTACAAATATGGAAAGCAAATAAAAAATATTCAATTTATTAATTACTTGCATTAATAAGAATCTTAAATAATCCTAATTTTACTTATTTGGCTTTTGAGTAAATAGGAAAGTGGTGGGAATATAAATTCATTATATATATATGTATTTGAAATTTTTTAAAATATTACACACTTTGATTAATTAATATTACCTTCTTATAGGAAATTTTATGCATTAAGGTCCTGCATTGAGTTAAACTTGTAAGAATATTGTTAGTTTATTTCAATGAAGAATAGACATTACGAAAATTTATTCTTTTTATAATTTTTCGTCAGTTTTATTAATCAATATTTTATAATTTTATGTGACATATTATAAGTCCTCACATTTTATTTTAGTGTTACTAATTTTAAGTTTTCTATTTTTTAAAAATAAATTTTTTTAAAAAAATGTGAACTTTTTTTCTGCTCCTATGTTGAGTTGGGCCGCCTGGGGTTTACACAAAATTTGAATCAAAGCCCAATGGTTCCTATCAGCTGTAGCTAGAAACCCAAGCCCATAAATTAAATTACATTTACAAGTAAAAAAAATAATAATAATAAGGCGCTCATGAGCTTGAAGATGGGACTAGTTTTGAGGCATCTATAGTTGCAAATATGGAGAACACTATATTTAGGATGAAATTTAATTGTTTGGTTTTAATAGACCATGGAGCTATGATTTCGTAGTTAAATTTTTAGCCTTGTAATTAGAAAATCATTCGATTATATTATATGATGTAGACAATTCAATGTTTCGCAAGAGTTTGGAAATTTACATGTATTAATTATTCACACATCTATGATTATACTAAGATTTTATTGAATGAATGATATAACAATATATGATATGTTTATCTTAGTATTAATTAATGTGGGTTTGACTTTTATTTTGACTCCCTTAAAAGGTTAAATAGTATTTAATAGTTTGAATTACTTTGTGCGGTTTTGGGTTTTGGACCAAACTTTTTTATTGTTAAAAATAATTGTCACCCAGTTTGAAAAGAAATATTATAGGAAAAAAAGGAGATATCGATATTGATTTCATTAAACAAAGAGTGATTATCGGGATTCTCATTAATTATATATAATAATATTTCAGGTACATTTTAATATAGTTTTTTAAAAATAATTAAAGAAATTACAACAAGTATTCAAAATTGTTACATCAATTTATATATTATTACTAATACAGTAAAACCTCTCTGTAGTCATAATGGTGGATTAATTTTTTATCTTTATAGGAAAGTTATAACTTAATAGAGGTGTGTTAAAAAAATTATTGTTTTGATTTATTATTTTATAAGTCAGTTTTTAGTAATACAGTATAGGATTTCAATTCATATTTTAGTAGTATTAGGATTTCATTCAGCGCTTCAATTGCCTACTTTGAAATGGATAGAAGATCATGTGTTGAACCAGCAAGATAAGTGTCATTGATGGAACTGAAATACAGTTGATGCATGATCAATTGTGAAATCATAAACATTACCATAGTTTTAAGCACTGCAAAATTAAGACCCCCGAACCTGATGTCGTGAATTGTAAGTTACAAATGAAGTGGATGAGGAGAATAAAAGATCATTGCAAAATTGAGTGATCAGATTCGACAACTTCTCTATAATCGAATGGATATAATTTCTTCCTCGATCATCCAAATGAGCAACAAATTGTATATGTTTTAGCTAAAGAGAAAATATTGCTGTAATTAGACAAGAAAAGAAAGAAATAATCCTGGAGATAATGGTACAGAAATACAACAAGTTTCGCGCCTTGAACTCTAAACATGTTTGAGAAGCTAAAAATATTTTGGCTTCACAAGAAGTGTCCTAATCAGTATTTACAATATTTACACATCCTAATAAAACTATGTCATATAAGTTTTTTCTTTTTCATATCAATGTTTATGGACGTTACTGATGAAGTGATATGACCGTTCCTTAAGAAATACTCTTTTATCCTAACAATATTTGTGTGTCACAGGCCAAAATGGTTAAGAAATACCCTTGCAAGTACTCTAGCACTGCATTGATGTGCACAGCAGCAGCAATCCAGGCAACAATTTATGCCCTTTTCACTGAGACAGATCCATCCAAATGGAAACTCGGTTGGAACATCAGGCTCCTTAGTGCTGTTTATAAGGTAATTAAATTAATTAACATTGCACTTCAGTAATGTTGATGCATTTACCATTTGCGATTGATTAATTTTATTCTATCAATTTGCTTGTGCCTCCAGGGAGCTGTGGCCACTGGATTAATGGTTGTAGTTATGGCCTGGTGTGTTCGAATAAAAGGGCCCTTATTTGTGTCAATTTTCAACCCTCTTTCGCTTGTGTTTGTGGCACTGATTGGCTCTTTGATCCTGAACGAAAAACTGCATATGGGAAGGTTAATTTATTAAATGCACTTACCTAGAGTAATTCTCTAATCAGGACTCTTGAATGCAGGACCATACTTTAACACCATTAAATTCATTTATTGGACTGAAATGATATGATAAAATTAATATCAGATGCTCTCACTACTTCTTTATATCTTCATGCAGAACATAAAGGATCGATCTATGTGTAAAGTATATAATATTTGTTTTCTCTTCTTCTGATGACAGCATTATAGGATCTGTTTTCATAATAATTGGTTTATACGCGGTGTTATGGGGAAAAGGCAGAGAGATGAAGAAGAAGACTGATCAACGAGCTTTAGATTTAGAATTCAAAAGCTGCAGTTCCGGCGTTTGAAATTCTGGAGACTGATAATATGACACAGTCTGGTGATGATGATGATGATCAAGTTATTACTTGTAGTTCAGTGTTTGTAGTTCATAATGCTCAAGGCATTGAAGATAGGACTAGTTTTGAGGCATCCATAGTTGCAGAGAATCAAAAATATTTAGAAGTGAGATTCAATTGTTCAATTTCACTTGACCGTGGAGCTATGATTTCGTAGTTTGTTTTGGTAGCCTTATACAGTAATTAGAAAATGACCATCCGGTTATATTGTATATTGTAATTTACATGTAGACAATTTGAAATTTTGTTAAAGATCTTTTGAAATTTACATGGATTAATTATTCATCCATCTATATTATATTACTAAGATTTTACCGAATGAATATATGACAATAATATGATGTGTTAACCCTAGGGGTTTGGTCTAGTAGTTAAAGAGATTTGCTTCATTCCTTGAGTAATTCAAACTTTGAGGTCATTTATCACATTGTGACTTACATGATTTTTTGGGTTTGAAGGATGTTCAATATATTTCAGGTATTAGTTAAAGTACGCACAAATTGGTCCGAACACTTCAATTACAAAAAAAATTAATAATAATAATAAAATGATGTGTTTATCTAAGTGTATAACAGTATATGTTAATGGAGTAGAATGACTGGTTGGTGCTGTAACTCCCGTTAACTTTTTGAAAAATATTTGTTAATTGTTTGAGTTAAATATATAAAATTTGGATTTAGGGGAAATAAAAATTTAGTCTGTGAGGTTTGGGTTAACTAATTTTAGTCTTCTAAAATTTTTTAGTAATGTTTTGGTTACTGTCACTAACGACTTGGTTCATGTCGTTAGCAAACATAACTATTTTAGGGACCAAAATGTAACTGACAGAGACCATAACGTTATTAAAAAGTTCTACAAAACTAAAGTGTTACTTAAACCAAACCTTAGAACGGTATCGTTATTATCTTGGATGTATGACACATTGTAAGCACATTATTTAGAAACACATTATGAAAAGAAAAAAAAAAGGAACCGAAACACGTGACACTGTTCCATGTGAATTTTTCTCTAAAACTAGACTTTGGTTGACCCATATGAAAAGGAATTAATTCATAATAGAAAAAGGGAATTATTATAGGCAAAAAAAATCAATTTTGATTTCATTTAAACAAAGAGTAATTATAGGGATTCTCATTAATTATTTAAGTTGACACAAAATTGATAATAGGAAAATATGATTCATATGTTGGATATGATATATATTTCTCTTAACCTTGACAGGTTGTCTGCCTACAATGACTCATTCGGGGGTCCCAACAGGTTGGATCTGTGTTGGCGGGGTGGCGAGACTAGGCACTTCACGTCTACGAATGGTGTTGGATCGATAGAGGGTTTACAAAGTCCCAATTTAGGGTTTCTAGTTATGTCCTAATTCAAATTCGATTTTTACATATTTGGGAATAAAGTTGTGTTTGTCATTTTTACAAACTAGTAATTTTATATAACCCCAATGGTTGTAAAACTATCACATACCCCCTTTCCATTCGAGGTTGTTGACGCTCATGAGCTTGAAGATGGGACTAGTTTTGAGGCATCTATAGTTGCAAATATGGAGAATCACATATATTTAGGAGTGAAATTTAATTGTTTGGTTTTAATAGACCATGGAGCTATGATTTCGTAGTTAAATTTTTTAGCCTTGTAATTAGAAAATCATTCGATTATATTATATGATGTAGACAATTCAATGTTTCGCAAAAGAGTTTTGAAATTTACATGTATTAATTATTCACACATCTATGATATATACTAAGATTTTATTGAATGAATGATATAACAATATTATGATATGTTTATCTTAGTATATAAATTAATGTGGGTTTGACTTTTATTTTGACTCCCTTAAAAGGGGTTAAATAGTATTTTAATAGTTTGAATTACTTTGTGCGGTTTTGGGTTTTGGACCAAACTTTTTTATTGTTAAAAATTAATTGTCACCCAGTTTGAAAAGAAATTATTATAGGAAAAAAAGGAGATATCAATATTGATTTCATTTAAACAAAGAGTGATTATCGGGATTCTCATTAATTATATGAATAATAATATTTCAGGTACAATTTTAATATAATTATTTTAAAAATAAATTAAAAGAAATTACATAACAAGTATGCAAAATTGTTACATCAATTTATATATTTATTACTAATACAGTAAAACCTCTTTATAGTCATAATGGTGGGATTAATTAATTTTATTATTATGAGAATGTTATAACTTAATAGAGGTGTAGTTACAAAAACTATTGTTTTAATTTATTATTTTATAAGTCATGTTTTAGTAATACAGTATTAGGATTTCAATTCAGCGCTTTAATTGCCTACTTTGAAATTGATAGAAGATCGTTCTTGGAACCAGCAAAGATAAGTTTCATTGATGGAACTGTAAATACAGTTGATGCATGGTCAATTGATGTGAAGCCACAGACAATTGCCAATAATTTTAAGCACTGCAAAATTAAGACCCTCGAACCCGATGTCGATGAATTGTAAGTTACAAATAAAGTGGATGAAGAGAATAAAAGAGTCGTTATAGAATTGAATGATCAGATTCGACAACTTCACTATACTAATCGAATGGATATTAATTTCTTCCCCCATCATCCAAATGAGCAACAAATTGTATATATTTTAACTAAAAAAGAAACTATTGCTGCAATTAGACAAGAAAAGAAATGAAATAATCTTGAGGATAATGGTACGAAAATACAAAAAGTTTCGTGCCATAAGACTCTAAACATGTTTGAGAAATTAAAAATATTTTGGCTTCAACAAGAAGGTGTCATGCTAGAGAATTATTACATATTCGCAAATTAAAATATATGGTAACAATTTTAAAACATAAATCATTGTCCCAACAATATTAAAAAAATATTTTATTTCACCTTAAACCTTTAATGTAAAATAATTTTTTTTTTTTTTTGTAATATACATATAATTATTACTATGTAGAGACAATTTTCCTTAAGGCGGGAATTAAAAAAATTATAACTTATTACAATATGGAGTTTATTCTTATTTATAACTATCCCAAATTTGAATTATATTTTTTTATGATTATATAGAGTTTATTCCTCTATAGAGTATCACTATAGAGGGGTTTTACTGCATATATCACCATATATTTTATAAAAGAAAAATAAAAGAAGTATTTCTTATAGTAATAATAAAAATCATTATAGGGTGAACAACATCATCCATTAAAGACAATCAACAGTTAATAATTGATTAAAATCCTTATAATTATCAACATAACTACAAGAATTAATCAAACCTTAATTTATTACTTCAATAGTTCATCGAACCTGGATCTTTCAATATCTACAGCCTTCTTCTCTTGCTATTGGCATCAAACTGATTCATGTCAAAATGGAACTCAGGATTAAACTGAGAGGTATGTTGATGCTGCATTTGAGATGAGTTATTTTGTAGAACAGGAAACCGCTCAAAAGGCGGCAATGGCTGCAAACTTGAACCAAAGAAATTCACAGGCCTTGGATTTTCTAGCAATGCAGCCATTGGGTCATAGTAAATTGGTTTCACTGATTGAGTGTAAGTATTATATTGAGGTAGAGATAAGTCACCGCCGTTCATCATCATTAAATTCATCGAATTATCGAGAGGATGAAGATCGAACGGTCGCATTTGGAGAGCCTGATTGGTAGGATAATATGGAAGATTAATTTGCCTGTTATTAATTACTTCTACTCCTTCCATTTTATTGTTCTGAAACAAAACCTGAGCATTGTTGCAGCCGTCCATCAAAGCTTTTTCTTCCTTTAAAATTGCAATCTTTCTTCTAGCAACTTCAAGAATGGTGTCGAATTTGGCAAGAAGATGATTAAGTTGATCGTCGGAACAATTTTCTAAACGATCACTCCAGCCACAAGGGAACTTTGCTTCCAAATTATCCTTCCGAATTTTCTCAATTTTTTGTTCAAGTTTTATTCTCCGATTAGCGAAGAAATCAAACAAGTTTAGAGTTTTCATCTCGCGATCAGATAAAGTTGTTTTCTTTCTAAACAAATCGAGAACTTTCAGAAATTCCTCTCTTTTCTTCGGAAAAGTTTCCATCTCTGCCGGGCGATTGTTGAGCTTTGGCATATAGATTATCATGCACGTAGGAACTCCGCAAAGAGTTGCAAACTCCTGAATTTTCTTCTCCAATCCCTTCTTCCTTTTTTGATAAGTTATCATTCGAGACTTTTCTTTTTTAATCAGTTCCATTGTTAACTTTCCGCGGCCCATCGTTTGATCTACAGTGGTAAAATTTAGCCTAACCCAATTTAGAGAAATTATGGAGACAAACAGCTTGAAATCCTGAGAAATTGTCTCGAAGCATTTTTTTTGGTACAAAAAATATTGGTTAAAATAAAAACCCTATTCAACATAGGTTTGTCATTGATATGCATGAAAACAAATTAAAATTAGAGACTAAGAAGAACAATAATAAAGGAAAATTTACAGGAAAAATAAAGGCAAAAGCATTAAACAAACAAGTTTTTACTATAAATTAAGAGGATAATTAAGACTGAGGAAGTACCTTAAAGGTAATGGCTTCTCACAAGGCGACTTTGATCTGGAGCAAGAACGGTAATAATAATAATAATGGAGTTATTTGATTGACCTTTATAGAAGTATGGGATTGAGTTGCCATGAATTAATTCAAAGTTCTTCTTACAAATATGGAAAGCAAATAAAAAATATTCAATTTATTAATTACTTGCATTAATAAGAATCTTAAATAATCCTAATTTTACTTATTTGGCTTTTGAGTAAATAGGAAAGTGGTGGGAATATAAATTCATTATATATATATGTATTTGAAATTTTTTAAAATATTACACACTTTGATTAATTAATATTACCTTCTTATAGGAAATTTTATGCATTAAGGTCCTGCATTGAGTTAAACTTGTAAGAATATTGTTAGTTTATTTCAATGAAGAATAGACATTACGAAAATTTATTCTTTTTATAATTTTTCGTCAGTTTTATTAATCAATATTTTATAATTTTATGTGACATATTATAAGTCCTCACATTTTATTTTAGTGTTACTAATTTTAAGTTTTCTATTTTTTAAAAATAAATTTTTTTAAAAAAATGTGAACTTTTTTTCTGCTCCTATGTTGAGTTGGGCCGCCTGGGGTTTACACAAAATTTGAATCAAAGCCCAATGGTTCCTATCAGCTGTGGCTAGAAACCCAAGCCCATAAATTAAATTACATTTACAAGTAAAAAAAATAATAATAATAATTGCCCAGAAACAGAATTAATATTTCTATTAAAAATATCATAAAATTTATAGCAATATTATAAATAGAGCAAAACAGCCTTACAATCCCCTTTTTTTTTTTTTTTTTTTTTTCGAAGTAAACAATGCTTATTGTTGTGAACTTGTTGAGAGATTTGTAATTATTGTATTTAAAAAAAAAAAACCTCATTTTTAATATATATTATTGAAAACAACAATTTTTTTTTTTTTTAATAATTACAAGTCTTTCAAAGATCATAATAATTTCTTGTAAAATAAAGGGTAGGGGTGGACATTGAAGTAGAAGTGGGAAGAAAATACTTCAATAATTAAAGCTAATGAAGATTTTAATTATGTAATTAAGTTTAAAATAATGGTGATGATGGAGTAACAGTCGCTAATTTGAGCTGATGATCTGGTTTCTCAGCTTGAGTTGGTAAGCAACTTTTCTCCTCCAATAGTTTTTGCTCTTTGCTCTTCCCCCATAATACACTATATAGACCTCCAATTAGCAATAATCCACCAAAAATCCTGCATAATTAAACAAGCGAAAGCTGATCAGATTATGAATTATCGGGTCGATACATAATATCAATCAATTAAAGTCAATCCAACGATTGCTAATTACAAGTGAACGATAAAATTACATACCTTCCTAAAGTAATAATCTCACATAAGAGAAATACAGAACTAATTATGGTGAAAATCAAAGTTAAGGGGGTTGACATGGCCAAGAACACTGGCCCTTTCTTCTCGATAATCCATGCTTGTAAGTAAAATGAAACCCCAGTCACCACAATTCCCTGTCAAAATTTGAAAACAAAGTTTATATAACATATGCATCTTTTTAAAATACAGAAAAATTAAGTTAGAAATTTGAAAGACTTACACAATAAACCACAGCGAGGAGTCTGAGATTCCAACCAAGAGCCCACTCATGAGGGTCTCTTACCAAAACAATGGCAATTACAAAAGATTGAACTGAGCTCATAAGGCATTGGAGAGTTGTAAAGAGAAGCTTTGAAGGGTAGCTTTTCAACACACGAACCTGCATGTTTCATGACACAATAATCAATTAATTTTAAATTAAATAATCAAATCAAACCAATTTTAATTGTATAACTAGCTAGAGGTGTTAAATTAATTAATTCATTACCTGCAATACAAGCCACAAGCCCCAACAAGTGTTGGAAGTGAGCATGAGGAAGCAACCCTTTATCCAAGTTTTGCCAGAATTCTGAGCATGACCCTCAACTTCATGGCTATTATGAAAATAAAAAATGTGAAGATGGCACGCAATTTTGAACTGGGGACCATTGTAAAAGGCCAGAGTGGCTGCACCGCCAGTGCAGATTAATATTCCTACAAGTTTCGCCACCCCTGGAATTGTCCTCAACTTCAACGCCTCCATCCTGTAACACAATATTAATTTTCATATGTTAAAGATTATTGCATAATTACCCATTTCTTAAATGAAAAATATATAATTTCATTTTTTTTTTTTTTTTTTTGATTATTGCATAATTACCCATTTCTTAAATGAAAAATATATAATTTCATTTTTTTTTTTTTTTTTAATAAAAATAGAGGGAGTGGTGCAAGATTTTGCAAAATCCATGATAATGAAGTTGATACTTTTAGATTTTTTTAATTTCTATCGTATTACAAGTTTGGCTTTATCTGTTTTGTATGATTTCAGAGTGTGGATCCTGTGCTTGTCTTTCCACGAGAGGCACAATTAATACACAGAACAGAAAATACAAGCTTCAATTAATTTTTCATGAAATCAAAGATAAAAAAAAAAAAGAAAAAGAAAATAAAGCCACTCTTTTAACACATGAAACACTGTAGACGATTAAATTTCAAATTTATGGGAAATTTATGATATTCTATATATACTTTTCAAATATATTTTTTTTCTTAGGTTAGATAAAAAAAGAATATTGCAATTAATAATATTATATATGTTCAATTAGGAACTGATTATTGTTTATATATATATATATATACAATCACATGCATTCTTTAATTAATTATCCTTGCGACTTTGAAAGCATTAGTATTAATTACCCAAGCTGATGATTTGCTTTATAATTAATCAACAAACAATAATGAAAGGTGTCCAGCTTAACTGTTTTTCCATTTTTCTTTTCTATGTTTAATTTTCTATCTTCTCTATGATTCCCTAAAAAGAGGTCTCACAAATCTTTGTCACCTCAATTAATTAATGCAACGATCGAGCAAGTGCTTACAGCACAAAAAGCTTTCCCTTTTTCTTTTCTTCAACCTCTTTCTCTATAAAAAAAGTCCATCGATCTTAATTTAATTACCAAGTTGAATATATATAATATACATGCACCTACAATTAAAAGAAAAAAAAAAACTTTTGGACTAACAACATATAATATCAATTCATTTATCTAATAAAAAACGCAAACCTCGTTAAATAATTTTAGTATATAGTTTACTAATACAACATAACATTAAAAGACAAAGGAATTTTGTTTCAGTCAAACTTTCTGGTATCAAACTGTATTTATTAGTCAATAGATATGCAAACAACATAATACTCAATTTCATGCTAAAGGTATAAGCAATGAAGGATCGATGTACAAGTTCAAACATGATGCTTCCCATGAAGAATTGCACAATTTAAAAACTCAACAAATTAAATTATCTTTAAAGTGGAAAGTGCTCAATTCATGTGTGAGTGTGAGCATATAGAGTTAAAAATATTTTATCTCTAACAAACAAGACACAAACTATCTTTCTCCGGGTCTCCTTCCCATGAAGGAATATCTAAACATGCGACTCACACACCATCACCACATGAAACAGTTTGGTTCTTTGCAGCATAATTTGGAATGACAATTCATAAATGAAAATCAAAGCTTAATTTAACTTACCCGAGAAGAACTGCCAAGAAGAAAGTTATGACAGGAAGACAATTTGTAGTTGCAGCAGCCAAAGTTGCAGAAGTGTAAATCAAAGCAATACCGTACAAGTCCAAGGTCAAAGTTATCCTGAAAATTTAAAAACATAAGGCTTGCATTAAGTAATTTTCTTCCAACTGTCGAGGTTGGTTTCTTGCTCTTTAAGTCGAAAAATGGATATGCATACCCAAATAACGAGAGCATAAAAATCTTGCAAAAGGTCACAAATGATAGAGGAGGAGCAGTTTTCCTGGTAGAACACAAAGAAATAAAAAAATCATAATTATGCAAGAAACTTAATTAATTAAATAATTAACATGGAAGTTTTGATTAATATTTACCACTCTATGAACATGGAGAGAGGGATTAAGAAGACAGTAGCAGCAGCTTGTCTGTAGAAGATGAACACAAAATTGTTCATACCGCCATTGAATGCCGCCTTGGAGAGCAAGAACATGCCTGCATAAATTGCTTGAACAAGAACCACAGCCAAGAAAGGCTTCTTTAACCTTTCCATTAGTTCTTAATTAAAATTTTCTTTGTGATTGATCAAAGAAACTAGTCTCACTCTCAAATAACAAAGTTAGAAGAACAATAATTGGCGAAGGTTTATATAAGTTCACTAAACCATGGGCAATGAAGAGAATACTCACTGAAAATTACAAGTTTTCTCCTATTGGGACGTGTGTGGTGAAGATGATAGGTTGCTTTACTATGAAGGGACCACTAATTTTTGCTTAGCTAGCCATCAAGTGATCTCTATTTATAGCCCATCCATCCATGCAAATGTTGAAAATGTTTTTTATAAAATGTATTTTGAAAGCAACACTTTGATGAATTGGTTCCCATTTTGACACCTTTTAAAGTATATACTCATTTGCTTTTTCTAGCTTGCTCCACTGTCCATTTCCCTGGAATTTCTCAGGTTAATTCTCTACACTGAAAAGTATTTTAATATCATATTCCAAATGAAAACAACGTGAGATTTAAGCAGAAGATTCAGGCTAGCTAGTATTCATACTGATTCAGAAATTTTTTTTGACTTGAATTTCTATTCAATCATATGTTTAATTCTAATCTAATTAAATGTGTAACACGTGTATATATATATATATATTTCGATTTTGAAAGTTAACCTTTTGATTAAGATGGATGATTAATTAACACCTACCCTAGCTCACATTATAAAAAGAATTTTTAAACTCTTAAACCTTAAATTAATATTAACCGTTTTAGGAACAGTCTTGTGTACTGCGCCATAAAGGAATTATTAAATCTTAAATTTATATGTTGGACCCTTACCTACTAATTGTTTAACGTTTTAGGTTAAATATTGGTTATATAATATACACTTTGCTTCATTCAAAATGTCACAGATTGGAGTTAAATAATTATCACAAAATAATTGGTTATCCCCATATCTCCGTACCATTGAGAGAACCACAATCACACAAAAGATAGACAAAAACAAATATTGTAAGACAAACAAAATACATTAGGATCGTTGTCGTCTTCTGATGGATCTTTACTGAACTT